TGCGAAAAGATACATATCAGCAGCGTGCGTCGACATTTCAACGTCTTTGCATCTAATAACCAAGTTGCAAGTTCCACTTAAAATGTGATTTTTTTCGGTGCTTTCAACTGGGAACTTTTTTGCGAGCGCATAAGCAGCGTCACTCGACTGAAATCAGGTCAACATTCATTACTGTCACGTTGCCAAAACGAAAATCTGTTCAAAAGATTTCATGTATTCTGATTTTTTTTTGTTGATGTGTGTGTGCGATGTTAGAAAAAATTCTACACTCCCCAGTTTTTTCGACGCTGCGTATAAAAATACACACATATATGCGCATGTTCATGCATTGCTTACATTTCCGTTCTTGGTAAGCGCACACAAAACACAACGCGAACTCGCTGTACCGCAAACCGCTGCCGCCACAGCATCAACAAGCGCTTTCAGAATTGTTTGTTGTTATTGTTGTTGTTGTCTCATGTCGCAGGTGGCACCAACTAAGCAACCAAATGTGTGCACATTGCATGCCACCACGTTGTTGCCGTGTCGTTTTGCCTTGTGTGCGCATGTGGTCGCTTGCTTGGCACCGCTGTTTGGAACGTTGCCTTCAAGCGTTTGCGCGTGTGTGTATGCGTGTTTGAGTGTGTGCTAAAAAGCTGCGCTTGTTCATGTCAAGCAATTTCATTTGTGCAACACCATTATTATTGCATTTCAATTCGTTTCACGTCAACCTTATCTCAGCGCAACGCTTTGGACACACACACACAACCAGCAACAACAAGCGAAGAAGCATACTTATAGGCATGTGTACTATATATTTGTGGGAATGCATATACATACATATATGAAAAGAACTATTTAGTCGATGTGTCGATGCAGTCGCCAAGCGATTTTTACACACACACATATACCCACACAAACTAATACACTTTGTGCGCTGTTTTTCTGCCCGCATACGCCACATGTGTGACATTCCTTCAAAATGTTGCTATTTTTGTTTTTGAAAACCAACAAAAAAATATTGTGCGTATTTACTGTTGCACATTGAGGTACAAAATGGCAATGCCGCAACAAATAATGGCAAAAAGGTATATGTGCGTGTAAGTGTGTTAGTGTGCATTTAGCGATGTGGACATTGGCTGCTGCGTAGCGGTTGCATGCCACTTCGCCAATGGAAATAGATATTTCTATTTATTTTGCTCAAATATTAGATTGCTTGCGGTCTTTAAGTTAAATAATCAAAAACATAGTTGTGAAGCAAGTGCATACAATGCCGCAGTATCTAAAAATAGCAACAATAACAACATATCTAGATGTATATGTTAATATGTATGAAAGAAATTAAGAATACGTGTGTAAATACGTACTTGTATTGGCACTTGTTTTTTTATATGTAAAAAGTAATGGAAAAAATTTAATCAATCCCCATTCTTTTATTCGGGATCCCGAGGTAAAGAATTGGTGTGCAAATATTTTTAAAACACTTTTATTGTCATTTGTTTTGTAATATGTAGTAATGATAGAAAAAAGCAAAATAAATCCCAATTTTTTTTAATTCGGGATCCCGAATCGAAAAATCAAAATAATCCCGAAACTAATTTAAACTGAGATTAATATTGTATTTAACGAGTAAAAGTGTGTTACATAACAAAAAAAAAACAAACCTGCATATTTATATATATTAGAAATATAACTATATGGATACAAAATCATTTATTTAATTTAATATATCGATATCCTGATTTTCTCAACACCTATGTACATATGTATGTATGTATGTACATATCCATATCGTTATATTTCTAATATATATAAACAATAATTGAAAAAAGTGAATCAATCCCGAAATTTTTCATTCGGGATACCGAATTAATAATTGAAAATTATCACAAAATCAATACAATCTGTCATTATTATTGCAAGTAATAGAAACAGCACTAACATTCATAGCATTACAAAAAATTTTAATACAGTTTTATAAATTTAAGGAAATGGTTAAAAAATATGTAAATTTATTTCGAAAATTTTGGTATATAATGGTCTAAAATAAGTATCGTGATATGTTATAGATAACTATAATAACCATGATTTTTTGGCGGAAACCATAGAGTCTACCTTATAGTTTTAACGTTAAATGTTTTAACCGCACGATTCTCTATACCTGCTTGATTGAAAAAAATTGGTTAACGCCTATATATTTTGTAAAGACGAGTAATAAGATATATACTCGATCTTTAAATGATATCTAATAGCTTACTTCTTTATAAAAAAAAAAAATAAATATACAGTTTTAAATTTTTAGTCCCAAAAATTTTTCGGGATTTTTCGGGATCCCGAATTTCATTAAGTATATATTTTTTAAAAAATAATTTAAAATATATAATTTTATAGATTATTTTGACATCGTTTCAAACAAATTGAAATTGAAGACTATTCTTGCACGTGATACCACTAATCCCAATAATTTTGAGCTCCCGAAAAAAAATAATTGTCCCAAAATACCGCGATCTCATATTAAAAACCCAAACTTTCAAAAGTATACATACATTGTCATCTAACAAGATCCCGAATCCCGAAAATCAACAATAAAACACAATACCGAATGTATGTATATTTGTTTTCTTGTTGCAAGTACGATTTTTATAATATTATTATAAATTTTTGATTTTTAAATTAATTATTCGAGATCCCGAATTTTTTTCCACACATCAAGTTAGAAAAATATAAAAATATGCAATTACGTATATACATACGTATCTAATGTTCAATACTTGCCTATAAACATAAAAGTACACTAATCAATATTGTTTTGCAATACTATTTATTAAATAGAATTCGTTTTGCTTTGCCCTTTGCCGCCGCCTGCGCACAAATAAGCACTTTGCCCATTGGAAATGAACTTTCTTGCTTCCAGGAAATTACCTCAAAACCATAAGCGCTCACACACACACAACACACACACACACATACATAAACAATATAAAAGCACAGCTTGTTTGCACAGACATAAAAGAAATAACTGCAAAACGCAGAAACATTTTGAAAATGGAGCAATGAAAAAAGAGCGAGGAATTGAAATAATGTGCAACTTTTTGCGTTAACATTGCTAACTTTTCAAATTTCAATTTTCTGTTTTCAGTTCTCTGAATGCAATTAAATATTACAAAATCTATGCTATGCTGTGCAATGCTATGCTATGCGGACATGCCAACTGCCAAGTGCAACGAGAAAAGAGAGAGTGGGTGTGAAAATATACATATATATATTATATATTCGTATATGTACATATGTATAAAAATTATTACTTGCTAATGTACAAGTATATATTTTTATATATACACATAGGTATATAGGCATATCTGAGGTGCACAACCGGACACTGTGTTGCCAGTAGCTGTGTCAAGCAGACGCTGGCGACTTTTGAGAGTTAAATTTATATATATGCATACTATAGTTGTATATGTATCTATATACATATGTATGCATATATATGTAAGCACTTATATATGTGGCAAGTATAGCGACACTTGAGAAGCTGCATAATTTTCGCTTTGAAACTTTCATAACAACGCTTGGACAGGCCGAACAAGTAAAAGCAAACAATAAATAGAACAACAAGCACAACAATAACAACGAAAGAGAAAAGTTACAACAACGAAGTAAGCAAAGAAAAATTGCGACAACACAGAGCAACTGCCAACCCGTTGCGTTGACATTTCTCCAATGGCAACAAAGATGACAACGGACGGAGGTAAAAAGAAAAAACAATAAAAAAAATGGGGAAAAATTTTAACTTCGGTTGCACCGAAGCTATTATATCCTTCACAAATAGAAAACTTTTTATAGAAGAACATTATTTTTATTGGTTACTTTGTATGGCAACTATGTGCTATAGTGCTTCGATCTGAACAATGTATTCGGCAGATTATGGCGTTGTCTTTGACAATAATTCATGCCAAATTTCCTAAAAATCTCTCGTCAAATAAAACAGTTTTTCATACAAGGACTTAGTTTTGGGTTGGTTAGTTTGTATGGCAGCTACATGATATAGTGATCCGATCAGAAAAATTTGTTGGAAGTACTGTTGCCTTGGTCAATATTTAATGCAGAATTTCAGATTGATATCTCCAAAACAGACAGAAAGATGGGCATGGCTAAATTGACTCAATTCGTCACGCTTATCAATTATATATATGGAGATATATTTTATCCTCCATCTTTTCTTTCTGTAAAAACTTCGTGGAAAACTTTATAAGCCCTGTTCAGGGTATAAAAAGCCAATATTGGGCAACTTTTGGCAACCCACTCGGGCGGCTAACTCACACAAAGCCAGCCAGGACACCGGTCTACGACGGTAACTGCTACTGTCAACACCAAAATGTAGAGCGGGTAATATAAAAAAAATGGCAAGAAGACACATACAAAATGGAAATTCACGCTACCCCTAACAAGTACAAAAACAACTAAAACACAATAGTGCCTGCGAAACTCAAGCGAACGGGCGTAAGATGCAGCGCAAGCGGGAACGCAGTAGGAGAGGGTAGTGAGAGGGCAGTAAAGTTGCAGGTGACTGCTGCTTGTTGTCTCTAGATGTATGAGTGTGTATATAAATTATATGTACGTGTGAGCCAGCAACTGCTTTGACAAGCAACAGTCGCAAGTTCCGGACTTGTAGCGACCTGTGAGACTGCTGGCAGGACAGGGCAGCATCAGCCGGACCCGGTTGCGCTATGCTGCTGCTGCTACTTTCAAGTGTCTTCCTGTTCTATGTACTTTATATTACAGTTTTGCGCACTCACTATATTTTATATATTTACATATATATACTTTTTGAACTGTGTCTGCCATGCGGACACCTTTGTTAACCCATTTTTGTGTTGCCGCTGCGGCACTTGGCGCACTCAAGCGCCATACAGCACTGGCAACACTTGACACACACAGCGCATGTATATATATATATATATATAACGGTTCTCATATATACACTACATATAATATAAATGTTGGCTGATGGCACTCACCTGGCACCGACAAGCAGGCTGTTGCCATCCTTCGTGACAAGCTTAAAATGATCCACGACACTTTCGTTTCCGAGAAATTTTAGCACATCTTCAGGACCTGCAGATAAAAGGAGAAAGTGAAAAAATTAGCAAAAACAGCATAGCAAATTAGTATAGCAAAGATAATATAGTATTTACATAATGAAGTGTGTATATAAAAATACAGAGCCAGTGAAAGAAATGTAAAGAGATAGAGAGAGTGAAATGGAGAGAGTGAACACCAACAAGCGCACTGCTTAATTAGGCAATTTAAATTTAACAAAAGCCATACACTACAGCAAAGCACACTGCAACGCCCGATGCAAAGGCGAACAATGGTGACGCCACAGGCCACCGGAAGGAGCACTATACTTTCGCCCACACTGAGCGGGAGCACAGGGTGGCATGCTACAAATATCGGACATTACAGCAATGGTCGCAGCTGAAGTATCTCTTTGATGTAGGTAAAGTAATAGTTGACACAATACGCACGAATAAAAGGCCGTTGGTAAGGCGTTGCGGAGGGGCCGAAGCTGTCGCATGAATTGCCTGACAATGGGGCGCAATTTAATGGCTGAAAAGTCACAAGTTTGTAGGTATAATAATGATGCCGCTGCTGCAGGTGTAGGAAGGCGCACTTGTGACACTGAGTGTGTCGGAAGCAGAGAGATAACTTTCTATTTTTATATTTTAGAACGCATTGTTGCCGCAGCAGCTCATTAAGTATTGTTAGACAACAGCATGCGATGGAGGAAAGTGCATGCAGTTAGAATCAGACAAATTGTTATGATTAGCTGATGTAGGAATGGCGAAAAGTAAAAACGAATTGTAAAGTCATGCCAAAACTCGATGAGTCATTATAATTCATTATTACAATTTCTCGTTTATCAAAAAAATTCATCTGCAATTCTCAGCAGGTTTATGGAAAAATTTAATATATTCATGTTATGTCTGGAGATCTTCGAATAATTGTGATATATGAACTAAAGATATAAAAATTATTTGAAAATCTCAAGGCATGATATTAAATGTTTCCATAAACCTGTTGAGAATTGCAAATGAATTTCTTGATCTTTTTTCTTAAAAGTAGATTTCAAAAAAGGTTTTTAATTACATACTTAAATAAAATGAGCTCGAAAGAAAGAAGATATGTAATATCGGAAAACAAAGCTGAAAGTATATATCATAAATTTTACAACAGATTAAGATTTTTAACAAATGAATCGTGGGTAAAAAAAAGCGAGTATTCACTAAGTGCACAAATTCCAGAAGAACTGTTTCTAAAACAAGTAAGTAAGGGCTAGGTTCGGGAGTAACCGAACATTTAATACTCTTGCAGTCTTTTTATATGTTTTACTTCCAGTCAGCGAAAATTATACTAAAATCATTTTAGAATGAGATATGTGGGATATAAACTCAATCGAAGACGCTAAATTTAATATACTGAGTAGATGTGAGAAACGTGATTCAAAAGATCGAAATTCATTATATTAGGAATATGGGGTTTAGACCAAGACCAATTTCATTTTTGAGGGCCAAACCATTAACAGAATTTTTCCAGAAAACGTGTCCACTTAATTCTATTAAAACATCACACATTTATTTATTAACCACATAGGTACACTCTTAGAAGAAAAATACGCTCTCAATTTTATTAAAATAACTCCCACATTGGCCGACGTAAGTGGCATAAAGCCAGCTGGAAGTTCGAAAATATCTATATAAGGTATATGGAGACTAAGGGAAGTATTGACCCGATTCAAACCATTTGCGGTATATTATTATCCAAAAAACATTTTTCCAGAATTTCAATAATATATCTTACATATTGACCGAAAATTTCCACCAAAAGTCAGCCATACGCTCTGGGGTCCACATATTCGGTATGTGGGCGCATGAACAGTTATGGTTTGATTTTGACGATTTTTGGACTCGAGATGGCATACCTCAAAGACATTATTTGTACAAAGTTTTGACCGCATATGTTTTTTGGTGCTTGATTTATGTACTCGAAAGTAGAAGTATTAGATGGGATTTTAAATTGTGCTATATGGGAAGTTGCCGTGAGCATCATAAATTATTGCAAAAATTGGTCGAAAATGGCTCTCGACTGGAACCGCCACGGCGGTCACTTACCCAAAAGCATTTTTAAAATATAATACCAAATTCTTCACTATATAATAAATCTAATTTTTGAGTATAAAATTAAATTATATGCGTTTTATTTCTTTTTGAAAAAAATCCGTAAAGATATTTTGTCGAGTTATAAAGTTTTCCATACAAGAGCTTGATTTTGATCGACCAGTTTGTATGGCACTATAGTGCATCTATAGTGGTCCGACGGTTTCAACAAATCAGCAGCTTCTTGGAGACAAACGAAAATGTGTGCAAAATTTCAGATCGATATCTCAAAAACTGGGAACTAGTTCGTGTATATACAGACAGACGGACATGGCTAAATCGGCTCAGTTCGTACGTGGCTACAAACTTCGTGGAAAACTTAATATACCCTGCTCACGGTAAAAAAAAACTTTTTGGTTGATTATATGAAAGTTAGAGTTAAAAAAATGAGTTATTAATATAAAAATACTATATAAACTTATAAATAAATTTAAAAGATCTAAACTATTTCAGTTGATTTTTTATGCCAAACAGCACCAATACATTATGACATGTGACTGCTACATAAATGTATGCAGTAAAACAAATGGCTGATTGAGGAAGTTTGTCATTACTTTTTGGCATCATCACTCATCGATGGCAACATCGTTAAGTGCACGCAATGGTCCTTGAAATGTGTGGCACGTCTACAATAACGGCAGCAACGGCGACGCTACGCAGCACTAAAAGCGAGGTCACTGCATAAGCATTTTGGAACAGCAACAACAACTAAACGCGTAGGAAACTTAGAGCTGTAGGAGGACATGTTCGCTTTTATAGTTGCTTTTGCTTTTGTTTTTTTTGCAGACTTTTCTATGATTTTTATTTTGCTAACAAAGCAAACGTTGCGGCGCATATACATGCATACATACTTATGTGTATGTGCAAGATTTACCGTTTTAACGGCATTGCTTTGGATTTTGCTGTGCTGATCACGTTGGCGGTTCCTTTTGTCATTTCCTTAATGTGACTGCGTTATGGCGGGTCGACAGCTACACAGTGCTGCTTTTGAATCCTTATGTGGGTGTAGCGGTCGATATGACTGCTGTGTACTCAGCTTCCTTTTCTCATGCGTGTTTGCCTTGGCGCTTGTATGTTTGCGTTACGCCATCCGCGAGGCAAAACGCTGCCTATGTTATGGCCAATACAGCAGCGGGTTTCCCCTATGGACCTTGACTCAAGCGACTGGTGTGACTGGTGTTATGATTCAGTGTGTGCTCACTGTTACCACTACAACTATAACAGCTACTGGTACTATTGTGTTTGTTGTTGTCGCGATTTTCATGTGCGCCACTTGAAAGCTTAACTTAAGCGCAAAAACGACGGAAGGTGATGAAATATGTGATGATGTGATGTGTGTGGAATATATATGTGTGTGTATGTGTCATATGTATATGTAATTGCTGCGTAACAATTCAGTTTGGCAAGTTCGACGAGGCAGGCGATTGGGCACACACACATATGCTCGTACATATTATATATCTATAAAAAGGTGTAAGTGTGTAATGTTGCAAGTGACAGCGTTTATCATAAAATGTGGCAGCTAAAAACCAAAAATAAAAAAAGCACGTTATCTTCGGTTGCATTGAAGCTATAACAACATCCACAAGAGCATTTATCATAGCATAAACGAACATAAAAGGGTTTTATCTTGATTTTGATAGCTCCGTTTGTATGGCAGTAATATGTTATAATCTTCCGATCTGAACAATAAGCTCAGATATCATAGCGCTGCTTCTGGTAATAATCTATGCCAAATTTCGTGAAGGTATCTTGTCAAATGAAAAAGTTTTCCATATAAGAAATTGATTTTTGTCATTCAGTTTATATGACAGCTATATGCTATAGTAGTGCGATATCGGCGGTTCCGATAAATTAGCAGCTTCTTAAGAAGAAAATATTGTGTGCAAACTTTCAGATGAATATCTCAAAAACTGTTCGCGTTTATATAGACAGGCGGATGTACGGACAGACGGTGATGCTAAATCGACTCAGCTCGTCACGCTGATCATTTATATATAAATACATTTTATAGGGCCTGCGACGATTCATCTGGGTGTTTCACAAGTTTCGTGACAAACTGCATATACCCTGTATATATCACCAATTTATTGGTATCTTCGACTTTTCTCTTCCACCAACTTTCTTGAAAGTCAAGCATCCAATTATCGTAAGTCATTTCACTAGGTGTATTAGTGTTAGTACGCCCGCGAGTATATTAAACGGTATGTATGTAGGTGTGTGGTATTGTGAAATATGCGGTTTGCGGTAAAATTCCGCAACGGAAATTAACGACACAGCGTTGAATCATGCAAGCGATTTCATGTCGCCGATTTGGCAGTAAAATATAAGAAATAAAATTAATGAAACCAGTGAAATCAGGAAACTGTGATTCTTCTCCGGGGTATACGAGTGTATTTAAGATTATATGGTATATAAGAGTGTGTATAAGAATTTTGCTTAGCAGTTAATGTGGCATAAGCGTGTGACTTGAGCTGAACTCCTGGTTTTGGTGCATGTGTAGTACCAGCACTGGGTCTTCGAAAGGTGTTCTCTTATGTTAGCATACATCTTCCCATACACCTAGTGAAATGCATTCGCACTCTAAGAAAATCGTGCTGTCATCGTTCGCACTGTAAGGCCATTAATGCGAACTGATGAAATATATAAGTATCTCTCAGTCCATAACCCTGTTTATAATTAAAACTATTCGTATAGATCGTAGAAGTTTTCGTACCAAAAGTGCTCTCAGTGGCTGTACTTATACGAAGCACAAAAATTTTACTGTTCTACCCACGTTCCTTTTACGAAATCTCTTCGTTAAAGTAAAGAGTTTTATAAAATACGGTCGAATAAAAGGAAATACTTTCTTTTTCCAAAGGTAGGCTATAGTAGCCAATATCTCGCGTTGTATAAGTG